TGTGTCACATAACGCTTAATGTCTCGAAATAGGGGAGTCATAAAAACCAAAATGCATTTATCCAGATAGAATAGTTCGATTACTATCTACTCATTACGATTTTAGTGACGGGGGTGCAAGTAGGCCGTGAGGGGAGGGGTGTCGTGAAACCGTATATGTGTAGTGAGTGTTGGTATAATAAGCCTAAAGTAAAGACGTTGTGTGGGATTACCTAGCTTAGAGCCAGGTGCATAAAATGCATCATGAAAGTAAAAATATCGATTCAATTTTAAACTTAAATCGCTTCTGAGTTAAGCTATTTTCTGTTATATCACCAACGTTTTTAATAAAAACAAACATCTTTAATCAACGGGACTCTAAGTTAAGAAATCAACAGATATTTGTCCAGTTTTGTTGTCTATACAATTCATTGTATACGTTTTGTACATAGATTACCAACTATATTAGATTATACTTTTGTTGCTAAGCAACATGACATAAAAGCCATTGTTGGAAGGTAGTGTCACCAAAACGCACTGGCTTTACTATATATTAGAAGATTAATCTAACTGATTTTTACCAATAATTATTCCATGAATACGCCACGAATTCGTTTCATAAATTATCTTAATTTTGATTGGCTCACAAAGGAATTTACCGACGTTTGACTGCCTCGACTGCACTTTCTGCCTCTTTGTTGGTCAAAATTTATTTATTTCGGTTAGTTATGAAATGTGAGGTTAGAGTATAATATGAGATGTGGGGGGTGGTACTTGCCCCGACATTTTTGACGGGCTAAACGCTGGTAGATAATAATGACTACTCTAGTTCTTGCACAGAAAGTTTTATCTATATATTCCAAGTAAAAACAAAACAAAAACGGGTTTTCTGGCTGTGTAGTCGTTCCTCTGCCAGTATAAAAGGGTTCTACGACATTTTACTTCCGGTTATTTGACTTCCGCGACATTTTACTTCCGATGCATTTTACAACAAAAAACGTTTATTTATTTATGCTTGTTTTTCAACGTTTCGGATGAGCGTCATTCGCCAGACTTAACTGGTAGACACAAATATATATAGTGTGTATATTTACATACAGGATATAAGCTTCTTTTCGTCTTAATGCAAAGCTGCACAATAGGCTACGTGCGGTCTGTTCTCCACGGAGAACCGAACTCTGGATTTTAGCATTGTAAATCCGAAGATATATACCTTACCATATTGAATTATTTGTTAGTTTAGTTGAAAAATATATTATCCTTTTCAGTGAAGTCTCGAGATCGAATCCTATCCTGTGTCAGTTTAAACTTTTCCAGAAATATTAAAAACACTTTTGTCTTGAATGATATACTGCGGAGCAGTTAAAACGTAAGAGTAGAATATATCACTAAAGGAACTGACATGATCGATTTTCCAGTCAGTCAGACCTAGAAACACCACAGAAAATAAGAGACAGACAGACACACGCGAATAAAAATAAATCCAAATTTCCTTTCTTATCCATGTTTTACGACTTGATTTGATGTGGGTCTTAATAATAATAAAATATACGCTAGTAAGCAATGACCTAGAATTTTAGCCCAAAATGTTTGTGGCGTTTTGTTTTATATTTTACACATATGATAAGTTTATGTTTCATTTCAATGAATACTTTCCCAATGTCAAAATAGAAAAATCCGATTGAATCTTTGATTTATAGTACGTTGTTATATTGTACAGTGTTTAATGACCGCCCGATTGGGGTTTAAGCTAAACAACGTAAACCAGCTGCTATAACACGAAAAACATTAATTTAAAACATAGCTAGAAATGTCGTGTTTTTGAATAACATGAGCATAATATCACGTGGATTTGTCTCCTCATTGCGGTTTAAATTTAACAATGTAAAGGAGTTGCTAATATAGCATGAAAAACACCAACTAAAAACATAACTAGAAGTGCCATGTGTTTAAATAACATGAATCTAATGTTACGTGAAATGCACAAGTCTGCTTCTTTGAAATGTATAAAATCTCATCCCATTTAAAGCAGAACAACAGAAAATAAAACGAATGCTTGATTTTAACAAGAAACTAATAAGGGAAGCTACCGAAATATCTTATCTTAAACTTACTTTAACAAGAAACTAATAAGGAAGCTACCGAAATATCTTATCTTAAACTTACTGACTTCAATCATCATTTTTAGACTAAATCCAATCTCTTTCACTCTGAAAGTTATAGAAATTTTCCTCGGACGAAGTAACATGCCAGAGCCAATTGTACCCAGTTGTGAAATGTTCACATTTTAAAAAGAACTTACGAGGCTTAATAAGATGAAAGCGTGAGGGAACAGAGAAAAACAAACGCAGTTAAATGTTAAATAAAGTTACTGAGAGAGAGAGATGTTGGATGGGGGAGAGGATGGATGGTAGCAGTGAGCAAACTCTGGAGATAATTCAGTAATATTAGTGTCCCTAACGTGTTATCTCGTCACAACATCAGAACCCGTGCTAGGGCATACTACCGAGTGGGGGAGATTGTCACTTTCGAGAAGATCACTGGTGTTTTTCTAAGAAATTACGCCTGAAGAGACATAGACATATTGCAGTATAACTATTATCTAGCTTATTTACAACAATCTGTTGGTAGTTTTCTCCAAAGATATTGTTCATTATTTCAACTGATACCTTTAGGAGGATGGTTTGAGATGATGAGATGGGTGACGTTAAGAAAAAAAAATAATCCACGGATTTTTTTTCCCCATATCAATCACTGTGTAAGGACGTCAAGCTGAAGCAAACACGAGTATTGTTACCCAGTTATATGAACAGTGAACAAGCTAATAACGGGTTAGAACGTGTAGCCTAATGTTCCCTTTAAAATTCATCCCGACTGAAGTGGATCTGTGTTATTATGATGCACAACATCATAACCAAGTAAATATTTATGAAAAGACATTATCATAATAATTTTATTCATGACGTCTCTGCATAAGTTTGGTTGTGAACACAAACATTTAATAAAGTGACTGTTATTTCGTGTTAATTTTACTTGCATGACGTTTTTAATTGAATGTTCTCCATGTTCAAATAGAAGATCTGCTTTTCCTAAAGCCTTTGGTGTTCATGACGAGGATGGATAATTTGGTTTGCTCTTATTTTTGAATATACATATCTGAATATATACATTTTATCACCATAAAATTCTGGTTTTTAGATCAAGCATCCAATGTTACGAGGAAAAGTGAAGGAAGAATAATAAAATATTTTATAAACACGAAAAAAGTATTTCGTAATGGACACTGAAGAGGGACTATTTGCGTATGCTCCAAAGAGGGGATTGTAAGGGAGATATTTCAAACAGTTATCCGAGAAAGGAATTTCGAAAGTGGGGTGGGGCATTGCAAACTTGACATTAAAGAAGGACTAAAGTGGCTTGAGATTTTAAGAAGAAGGACTAAAGTGGCTTGAGATTGTAAGAAGAAGGACTAAAGTGGCTTGAGATTGTAAGAAGAAGGACTAAAGTGGCTTTAGATTGTAAGAAGAAGGACTAAAGTGGCTTGAGATTGTAAGAAGAAGGACTAAAGTGGCTTGAGATTTTAAGAAGAAGGACTAAAGTGGCTTGAGATTGTAAGAAGAAGGACTAAAGTGGCTTGAGATTTTAAGATGAACTACTTCAGATGATATGCGAGACTTTTCTTTAAAAAATTACATGGCTAGTTAGGAGAGGGAAGCATCAACTCCAGGAATATATCATTCGGGTAATTAGGAGAGTAGGAGGTATCTCAGATACTTTGAGGGAAGCATCAACTCAGAAAGATATCATTCGGGTAATTAGAAGAGTAGGAGATACCTCAGATACATTGAGGGAAGCACCAACTTCAGGAAGACATCATTCGGATAATTGAGACAGTAGGAGGTATCTCACATATCTTGAGGGAAGCATCAACTCCAGGAAGATATCATTCGAGTAATTAGGAGAATAAGAGGTACCTCAGATACCTTGAGGGAAGCATAAATTCCATGAAGATATCATTCGGGTAATTAGGAGAATAAGATGTACCTCAGATACCTTGAGGGAAGCATAAACTCCAAGAAAATATCATTCGGATAATTAAGACAGTAGGAGGTATCTCACATATCTTGAGGGAAACATCAACTCCAGGAAGATATCATTCGGGTAATTTGGAGAATAAGAGGTACATCAGATATCAGCTCCAGGAAGATTGTTTGTTTGTTTGTTTTTAATTATACGCAAAGCTACACAAGGGCTATCTGTGCTCTGCCCACCACGAGTATCGAAACCCGGTTTCTAGCGTTGTAAGTCCGCAGACATACCGCTGTGCCACTGGGGGCCTCCAGAAGATATCATTCGGATACATCTAACATCAGGAGGAGAACAACAATAAAAGATGTTCCTTTATGGATATAGTTCATGAGATCATCCCTTGTAATATAAAATACACGGAGGAGCAGGTGAACATCAATGTCTGATTGGGGACTAGGACAAACAGAACTAAAAGCAAGGTTCAGCGGCTTCACTTATTCATTTCAGGGTTTGAACTGAGGTTATAGAGACTATTGTTTAAACACAAACACATGTTAATACTTTTGAAGTTTTCTAATGCGAAAACCAACCAGTTTATAAAGTAAAGATTAAGATGCAGGATTTCATTTACATGAATATCAGTTGTGAACTAATTAATAATAATTGATTTGGATTGTACTTTAGAATGTATATATATATTCGCCTTTACTTGTTTTTAGCCGTGGCACAGCGGCTCATAGAATGGCTCCGAGTTCTTTTTTTTTTTCAACTACAAAGTTTTAGTTCATAGCTTCATCTTTTGACCGATTTGAGATCTAATTACAGCCGAGGCTATTGAGGATTCTCCTCTTATTTTTTATATGTGTCTCATAGTCATACAAATGCCTCTGTTTAGTTGTGTTCGAGAAAATATTCAACATACACTCTTTTGAATTAACTAATTATTATTGTTCGTTATATTTCATCGTTTGATTAATCAGCTTGTTAACTTACCTGATGTAAAAGCTGAAGACATTCCGTGTAGTTTGTCCAGTTTCCCCACACCCAGTTACCAGTTTCGTCACAAAGTCTGAATGCATGAGCTGAAAAACAAAACGTATGATTTAAGGAACTGATAAAACTTACAAAAACAACTTAAAATCATCAAACAGTTTTTATCACAACAGGAACTACCGAAGCCTCTTTGTTAAAATTATCAATAATTCGACCTTATTTGGATTAACCGTTTAGACAAGGGAAGTTTTTAGTTCATTTCTTTGGTTACAGGAGTTCGATAGAATTACATATAAAATACGAACTTTGCCAATTTGCTATTTAATAGCTGAAACATTGACTAAATTTTAGGAAAATAGTGAAATTCAGTTATTCATTCTTGTGGTTTCGAAACATGAAAGAAGTAGAATACTGTTTAGAAACATAATAATATTGATTCACATACACTTTTTTTTGTAAAGTTAACGTTTCCTTTTTTACTTTGACATATTCAAAACAAAAATATACGGTGTCGGACAAAAACGTTTACGAGAATATTAAGAATTTGATTACATTAAATATCTTATCAGCAGAATAATTTTCTTACAGAAAACATGAACTCAGAGAACCAGAAAAGTCAAGTTTTGTTGTCACTGTTTGAATTCTGGTATTAGTTGTAACTTCCGAACGGGCCATTCCCAATCTTAATAAAATGCAAAGAAGGACAGGCGGGAAATACTGTTCAAATTCTCTTTCTCGCTCTGAATAATGAATAGCGTTTTACAAGCTTGACGCTGGATGTTTGATGGAATGATTGAATGCCCATTATCACCCCTGTGACATTCGGACAATTTTCTTCATCACATTACTTGATCTTGATGGGAAGCTCATGTTAATTGAATCAGTATTATATTGTATTGAACGCCATCTGCAGTCGTAATGTAAAAACAAAACAATTATAAAATCGTTTAATGCAAGTGTTAAATTGTCACCATCATATTCTATGGAAAGTGATGGTGGTCGTTTTGGGCAATAAAAGTAGATGCGTATGGTTATGACCTTAAGCTTCTTCTGGCGCCATGGTAGATGATTTTCGATACTTCTCGGAATACCTGACAGTTAAAATAATGTTGTAATGTTTTCAATACTTCTTGGAATACCTGACAGTTACAATAACGTTCTAATGTTTTCAATACTTCTTGGAATACCTGACAGTTACAATAATGTTGTAATGTTTTCAATACTTCTTGGAATACCTTACAGTTACAATAACGTTCTAATGTTTTCAATACTTCTTGGAATACCTTACAGTTACAATAATGTTGTAATGTTTTCAATACTTCTTGGAATACCTGACAGTTACAATAATGTTCTAATGTTTTCAATACTTCTTGGAATACCTTACAGTTACAATAATGTTGTAATGTTTTCAATACTTCTTGGAATACCTTACAGTTACAATAACGTTCTAATGTTTTCAATACTTCTTGGAATACCTTACAGTTACAATAATG